TATATATATATATATATATATATACGTGTATGTTCAGTGTAAGATACTCCTGTGCATACTATCAAATTTGTCCGCGGATCAGATACGTAAAGGCACCACATCATTTAAGTATGTCTGCTCCTATGTGCTGTCCCTCTCCAGCTATGGCCACTTTTGGAATTGGTACCATGGTAGCGGGTAAGCCTTTCGCCGAAATTCTTGAAGATATCAAGAAGTTAGAGATCCCCCCCGCTTGCTTCTACGCCACAAAGTTTGTCTTGGCCTGGCCATTTGTATATCACACAGTCAATGGAGTTCGTCATATGGTAAGCGAGCTACCGACAGTGACTTTGTTTTCTTCCTAACACGGATTGTAGTGTGTATGCATCCGCATTTTTTAGTCAGACGGGTGGAGTGTGTAAGTGTGTAGTCAGCAAAGTGCTTCCATACCTTTCGAGCAGCGCCTCTCTGCACGTATTCTGCGTCCTTCTCCGAGGCCTGCTCTCTGTGTAGTATTATAGAACTTGATTGCGGATGAACTTCTGATTGACAACCCTCTTATCCGCCATCTTTCAGGTTTGGGACAGAGCTCTGGCACTAACCATCCCTGGTGTCTACAACACTGGATACGCAGCCGTGGCTGTGTCGACTACGATCGCTGGTCTTATCACAACATTGTAGATTGGTTTTCGCGAAAGCCACCAGTCCCATGTGATTTTTTTTATCTTTGTGGGATAGGTACAGGAATATTAAAATCGATCCCTGTCCACCTTGATAGATGAGGGGCTCTGCTTCTTGGCACTTGGATACAAGTGTCTAGTGCTACCTTGACATGTTTATTATACTGTTGAATGTAATCAGTATCCCGCGTATGCGAAAGAGAATGTGTTTATTCATCTCCCACTTTCACAAGCCTGTGGTGTATGTATCTCAAATGGGATCATGTGCATCGTCAGTTGTTTAGATTGAGTACATATTTTCGTTTTGTATTGTAGGTTGAGTAGCCATTCCGTTTCCGCGGGATGAGCATGTGAAGAGTATGTACTCCTTCCTACAAAGTCGCTTAGTTCTATATATATATGTATGTAAGTATATATGTATATATATATATATATATATTGCAATTGTAGTGTTATTTCTCGTTTGTGACGGATGTTATGTCTCCTAGCAAGGGTGTCGTCGAAGTTCTCTTGCAGAACATTCCTCGTTTAGGTTTAGGGTTCAATTCGATGCTCCGGGAATGGAGAACAGTGCTTACTTACTGGCTTGACATCTGTTTATAGTTAGTATCTATCATTCTTTTCCCCTTTTTCTTCGGTAGCATTCAACCTGAAAACTACTTGTCACGTGCCGGCTACCAGGGGTAGGGTGACCATTCACGCATGCTTAGTCATTTTGCTCTGCGGCCCATGCAAGGAAGTAACAACCTTGCGACAGCACACCCACAGCCCAACGGCGACGGCTATCAGTACAAGTATGGCAATCGGAGTGGATGGATTATGTGGGTTTAAGAAAGGATAAAAGACGATACCATGTGTCGTTACAAACGTTAACGCAAATGTCACATATGTACAGTCAAACAAAAGTTTGGCTCGCAGACTGTCTGAGATTGTGGTGCTCATGAAGCAACCAGTAGGCGTAGGGGCTGTGACATGGAACGAACTCTGAACCACAGCCGGTATCTTTGACAAGTATCTCCACTCCAGGAAGCACACCACCGCGTTGGCCAGATGCATGATATGTGCCGTAGCGCTGGTGAGAAGTGCGCGTTCTGTGTCGTGTGACGAATCTGTTCTGATGAAGACAACACCGGGCACGAGAAACGTATAGGAAACGAAGGTCACCAGCAGGGAGTTTCCGAACGCTATCTGGGAGAGTATGAGATATGTGTGCGAGTAACGGAGTGGCCCTAGCGCAAGGAGGAGTTCTGAGACGCCAATGAGGATGAATGACCAGCGTGTGTAGGTAGAAAAGCCAAACAGGCCAGTCATAAGGAAGCAGTCCACTTCCGGTTCAGACCCAAATCCAGGAGCTTTGGGACAGATATACCTATGAGATAGATGTGAAGATATGTGCTATTGTTTGAGAGACTGTTTGTTAAACCCACTATTAAAGTGCCAGAAACATACTTCGTAACGTTAGCACAAAATAGTGCAACGCAAGTTCTATCCACACGCAGGAAAATGTACTGGACCGAATATAGAAACAGCACATGACTACAAACACGCACACACGCATATATATATATATATATATATACATATAACACACAACACACATACACACACACATATATATATATATATATATATATATAATATGTATGTATGTATATACATGCATACATAC